CTGGGGCTTGGGGATCCGTCAGCACCAGGGTCCTGTGGCCAGCTCAGCACACTCTGCCCAGTGGCTGGCTTAGTCCTCGTGACCTAGGCAGACATTCCAGGACCTTTAACATCTCCCTCGACATGTCCCCTTTTCATCCATAGTATCTCCTTTCTGGAATGGTCTGTTAGGTCGTCAGGAAAGTCATCACGCATTTTTGCATGGGGAAACAGAAAAATATGTCATGACTTTCCTGATGACCTAACAGAACAAACCTACATCCTGTAGCCAGTGAGGCATTTGAAAAAGCCACCATTTTCTCTGGGTTGTTACAACCTTAAAGCTTCTTCCCTCGGGCAGACAGTGCTGGCCCAGTAGTGCTGATGTAGACTTGGTGTCCGTGGCAAGGTCTCGCCAGGGAGAGATGGGGCCTTTTATCTAAAGCTGCGTCCAAAGTCTGGAGGATGAGCTAGGTTGAGCCACACTGGGTCCCGAGGAAGGGATGGGACAGAATGTGCCCAGGACAGATGCCTGACAGCCCTGGGCAGCCAAAGGGTAGGAAGGAAGCCACTGACCTGGTGCTGGGTACCTGTCACAGAACTACATGGATCCCATGAATGAGTACAACGCCCTCAATGAGGCCAAGCAGATGATCGCCATTGCTGATGAGAACCAGAACCAGCACCTCGAGCCTGAGGAGATCCTCAGGTACAGCGAGTTCTTCACGGGCAGCAAGCTGGTGGACTATGCCCGCAACGTGCATGAGGAGTTCTGAGCTGCCCTCGGCCCCTCCCCACCCTCGTCTCCATTCTGACGCATCACACCATGCTCCAGTGAGGCGTGTGGTTGACTGTGGGTCCTGGGCCAAGTGACCCATGCTGCAGCTACCTATCCCACCCCCAGGGACTGCCGTGGGTCCTAGTACCTGCCCTTCCTCCTGCTGCCCCATGACCACACTCCTCGGGACGAGCTCCAGCCACAGCAGGGTCCAGATTTATTAAAGATGTGCTTTAACAGGCGAGCATCCCTCTGTGGCGTGTGTCTGAGGTGGGCTTGTCCTGTGTTGTGGCCCAAGGCTTGGCTGTGACACAGCCATGCGTGCTCTGACTCGCTCGCTGCAGCTGTCCTCTGGTCCCTCGAAATCACTACATCTCACTTCTGAGAACTGCTCAGTCGTTCTGAAGGCGCTGACCACATCAGAGTGTGAGGCCCTAGGCTGGCCCCTCTGTGGCTCGACACACCATGGGAAATAACACAGCTCCTGCCATTTTCTTGAAAATGGAGAGATGAAGAGAAAATTAGACTGTACTTTGCTGGCAACGAGTAGCCAGGCAGTTCAGGGAAGGGCAGCCATGCCTGGGTGAGGGCTGGGTGGTCACTGGGTGGGATTCCCTGAACTTGTCAGGGCCACTCAGATCATACAATGTGCAGTCTGAGAAAATGCAAGTATTTGTTGTGACAAGAATCATTAATTTACTTTAAAATATAGTTGCCTTTTTCTCTCAGCTTCATTCTTTTTGTGGGAAAAACATGACAGAATGACAGTTTGAAACGTTTGTGGCAGGTGGCTTCCACCTGAAGCTTTTGAGGTGGGCGATTTGGTTAGCTGACGGGTTCACAGCTTCTGCTGTTTGGAGCTGATTGTCCTGTCTGGCACAGCTGGGGCAGGTTTAGGGAGGTGGAATGGGGAGGGTCCCTGGGGCCTGGGGGCTACTCGGGTGGGGCTCTTGCAGATTGTTGCAGTCAAGTTTGGGCTGTGGGCTGGAAAGTTGTCAGGAGCTGGTGCCTGGAACCAGGTGCAATGTCTGGTGAGTTTTGCACAGAGAAGATTAGAGGACAGGCCAGGGCTACTACCTTGGTCTTTTGGGGGCAAACCTAGTTCAGGAGGGGCAGGAGGATGGCATGTGTTAGAATGGCTGTGAGGTCCCATCCTATGGCATATGGGGACCCTGGTCTGTGTTCTAGCTCTGTCTGCATGAACTCCGGGGCTCCTAGGAGCCCTGGTCCGCCTTAAACTGACCTGTTCTTTACTGAGACTCACTTCTCAGCAGCCTGGGGGCTCCCACCTAGCCCCCCAAGACAGGTTGGTATACAGACCAGTTTCCAGACAGGAAGAGAACTTTTCAGAATCAAGACTGGGGCCTGTGGCAGGAGGACGTCTCCAGGCTCCAGGCTACGTCTGTGGGCATCCTCAGTGAGTTGGCACCTGCTGCTCTCGGGGTGAGACTCTTCCTGGGGCCAGCTGCCCTCCCCAGCTAGCTCTGCTGGACTTTCCCTCATGGATCTCTTCTGCCCTCTCCCATTGAGGCCCTGAGCAGGTTGGGTTGCAGCAGCTGTTTGACGTCCCCATCCTGTACACCATGCATCCATGGAGGTTCGAGCCGGGGCCAGGGCCGAACTGGACCAACAAGATGGACAGCCGAGTCCTTCGAGGCTCCTGGTGAATTTCGGTGTTATACCCAAAGGGCGCTAGCCACTTGGGGCTGGTCTGGGCCACTCCATGACGTTGTGCTGAATGTATGAGCAGGGCCCCACTCCAGTCCCTGGAGGTGTCCAGTCCCTGGACTATAGGACTGTGAGCCCTGGTGAGTGTCCAGCCTGGCCGTAGCCCCTTTCCTAACCCAGCTTGGTGGATGAGAGGCTGGCTCTTGCCCTGCTAATGCCTCTGATCTGTGACTTCCACTCAGTTGGACGCAGTCCCGCATGACCCCCTGGTGAAGGGTGGATGTGGGTAATACCCAGGCCTCTGTGTACCTGCTCACCCAGGCATGCACAGCCGTGGGCAGTAGAGACCAGATCTTACCAGAGGCCCAAGTCGGTGGGCCCCTCAGGAAGGAGGGGTGTTCCAGAGGGAACTGATGCCCACTGAGAACCAAAGTGTAGCTTTCTTTTGGACCTCAGAAGAAACCATTAGGAAAATGTCAGGTTCTCTCCCTGTCAATTAGAGACAGGGTTTAAAAGCTTGGTTGAGGAAACCAGCAGTTAGTGTAATGGCTATGTCGCTGGACTCCCACGTAGTCGACCGCGGTTCGCATCCCGGACCCGGTGGCTTAAAACTCATGCTGGGCGCGTGTGCGTGCGTGCCCAAGATCCCGAGAGGAGAATGGAGGAGAAGGGATTGTGGCGTGACCATCCCTCCTGGGGGGTGATTTCTCGCTTTCTGTCTCTCTGTCTCTGTCTGTCTGGCGAGTGCACACGCCCTGTAGCGAAAACCTCTCAAAAAAATAAAAATAAATAAAAGCTGGGTTGAATGATCCAGAAGATACCAGAATTTTCATCATTTGCCTACCTGGGCTGGGGTGACAAACTCAGGGATGGGCACTGTCTACGATGCTCTGAACCCCTTCCTCTCCCAGGACTGTCTCTTCATTCTGGCAGCTGGGGTGTGGGGCTATGGCAGAGCCCCTCAGCCCAGTGGTCACCAGAGGCCAGGGCTAGAGCCTGCTTCTCCCTTTCCCCCATCCCCAGCTGGGGCTGGCCCCTCCTTGGCTGGAATTTCCCTGCTGGTAGGTCCGGGGAGCTGGCTCTTACCTGGGGAGGAGGGGGATTTCCAGCCCCTCCTGGCTGCTCATCCTGCCTGGAGGCCCCTCTCCACTTGTAGCTGTTAAAATGAACTTTTGAATAGATAGTCCTGTCATGGCCCCAGGGACACAATGAAGCCTTCTCCAACCCTGCGCCCAACTGTAGCTCCCCTCAGAACCACCAGTGTTAGAGGAGTTTGCAATAAGAAAAAAAGCTTGTATGCACGTGCCTGTGTGTGTCTGTCACGTGGAGGGCATGCGTGTGTTCGTTCCCTCTGCGTGCCCTGTGGGCTGACACCCATGCTGTGTCACAGACTGGGATGCACTCTACGGCTGTTCCGAGGGTGGGAGTAGGGTGGGGCAGAGTATGGCCTTAGAGCCCAGTCCTGTCATCAGGGTGCCCTGGGCCAGAGTGTTCAGGAAGGCAGGGTTGACCCAGCCGGCAGTGGGACATAGGCTCAGGCTGCAGAGCCTGGCCAGGGTGGTCAAAGCACAGCCCCAGCCTCCATACACAGGTGCTCACATGAGCAGCCGCACACGTACATGTCCTGGCTTGTGAGGGCAAGGCTGTAGAGACACACGTGTGCGTGCACACATCACCCAGGAGACACATGGAACAGCATGTGCTTGTCTGCTACTCTGGCTCTTGGGGGGAGCCACAATTCAGTCTGTAACACCTGTCCTGATGAGGTACACTCGCCTTCTCGCACACACATGCATGTTCTCTCACTGCAGAAAGACGAGTTTGGGATCCCCAGTGGATGCCCAGAAGGTTCAGACTGTGGGAGGCCTCTCTCCTGACCCAGTGTGTTTCCTCTGTTACCCACCTGCTCTGTGTACCCTTTTGCAGAGGGGGTGAAGGTAGAGATGGACCTGGCTGACAGAGTGGCCCCTGGCCTCTCCCATGGAGATGCCTGTGCAAGGAGAGTGAATGACTGGAGAGAGCCAGCTGTGCGGAGGGCTTTGGAAACCACCCTGGTCTAGGCAGCTTGAACTGGCCGGCAGGGCAGGACTGGGGCAGCCAGGCACCCAGCCACAGGGGCCCTGTTTATCAGGCCAGATGGGAGCAGGGAGGGTCTGCAGTATGGAGTTGATATAGACCAAATTGGCTTGGCCTCACTTTGGCTGGGGGTGTGGTGGGAGTGGGTGTAGGGACATATTTATGGAGGGGCCCTGAGTGAGGTATGGGGACATGCTCTGAGCAAACATCACCACCTTGTCTTTTGGTCTTTGGCAGAACCTTGCAACTTGTCCTTTCCTTGACCCTCGCTGCAGGCAGAGCAAAGGGTGGAAATTGCTAGGGGTGTTCCAACAGACACATCTGTTGGAATTCAGGAAACATTGGACTCCAGTTGGCAAAGTCCAATCTCTGCTCTGCATCTGGAAGATTCTTTAGCCTTCTCTGGGTGTGGTGGTGTATACCTTATGGAGAGATTCTTTAGCCTTATGTTTCTTCCCCACACCTGCAGCTAGGCTTCTCTCCATTAGAAAAGAAGATAATGGGATTTCTCCACAATGTGATTATTATCAGGGGGTTCAGGAAATACACCCAGTTTATTATGTCTAAGCTCTTATAAGTTTTTTTTTTGAGAGTTTTTTTTTTTTTTTTTTTTTTTTTTTTTTCTCTATGGGATGTAGCGTA